AAGGATCTACAAAGCGAAAGCATGTTTCAATGTACCACTTCCGATATACTGCTTCTGATAGTGAAGAAGGTAACAGAGAGGTTATTCAAAACGAAAAAATTTCGACTGACAAGTTAGTCGGTATTTCGACACAGCAATTACAGGACTTGAACAGTGGAACTTTGTAACTGAACAAGAAATTATGTCTGTTTATAGAATTAAAGAGAAAATATTCGCACAAAAAACGAAGAAACTTAAATAACTTACATTGAAAGAAATGTTTAATAAAGTAAACAAATAAAAAATAAGCTATTTTTTGTAAATTTTGATACCCTTTAGATCATAATTGCTCTTTATTTCATAAATTACAGTTTCATATTTTTAATTGCATAATTTCTGCATGCCATCTTACCAGATTTAAACTGATGATCTATAATCCAGAAAAAACCCTAATCTGGAATTGCCGAAGTCCCGATGAGTCCGGATTATGAACTTTGCACTGTATATCAAATTGTCGAGTACTGATAAGAAAAAGAGAAAGAAATTTTAGAAAAATATTTCTTCATAGCAGAAATTAGCAAAAGTGTTAGATATTCTAATCATGCAGCTGACATGAAGATATCAAAAATTTAATTTTAGTTTCTAATCGGTTAAAAATTAATGTCACTAGATTTTGAAGAAATGTAAAAGCAACAGTTTATATAACTCAATGATTTAAATGATTGAAACATGTAATCAGAAATATTTAATTCAGTGGTTTTCAACCTTCTTGGCCCCATGCAACTATTTCTCCACTGTTAAACAAGCATTCCTAACCCCTTCCTTTCAAAACTCAAAAAATACATTTTTTTTAAATTTAGATTATTTTTTAATCTGTTTTATAAATTAAACAAGGGAAAATATAGAGAATGCTGATAAATAGTAGTTTGAAAAAAAATTTGAATAAAAGTAGTTTTTTTTTTTTTTTTTAAATATCCATAAACTAAAATTAAATATTTAGCTAATAAATAAAACGCTGACCACATTCTCCCTTCCTCAGAGCTATGAAATCCCCCTCCCGGGTTGAAAACCCCTAATCTAGTTTTAAATACGAGGCTATTTCAATAATTCCAGATACTAAAGGATCTATAAGCTTAGATCTTATAAAAATAATTGATGAATATACAGTCTTTTACAAAAAAAAAAAAAAAAAAAAAAAAAAATCGAAGCGCTATAAGGATGTTTTTGATGAGACTATAAGGATGTTTTTGATGAGACTATAAGGATGTTTTTGATGAGACTATAAGGATGTTTTTGACTATAAGGATGTTTTTGCTATAAGGATGTTTTTGATGAGACTATAAGGATGTTTTTGACTATAAGGATGTTTTTGCTATAAGGATGTTTTTGATGTTTTTGATATAGTTGTTTTTGATGAGACTGAATATGTGTATAGCTCATAAACAGATACTAAAATGATTAAAAAAATCAAGGTCATAGCACCTGTTCATGGCTCACAATCACCCATTGAGTGTTCAAATTAGTAGTTGGTCGAACCGCCCTTGGCGGCAATGCATGCTTGAATTCGTCAAGGCAAGGAGTGGTACAGGTTCCTAATGTCATCCTGCATCCTGCAACAGATTCTGCCAGGCATTCATCAGTTGTCGCTCCAGATCTGCGATATTTTGTGGTGCCCGAATCTCGCGGTTTACTATGCCCCAGACATGCTCAATTGGTGAAAGGTCTGGTGACCTTGCTGGCCAGGGAAGAGTATCAACCGCATGGAGGTAGTAAAGAGATATGCGAGCAGTATGTGGCCTGGCATTATCTAGTTGGAAAATGGCCCCAGGATGACGTGCCATGAAGGGCAATGCAATCGGCCGCAGGATGGCATCAACGTATCATTGGGCTGTTAAAAATGTACGGAGGATGACTAAAGATGACCTGCTGTCATAAGAAATAGCGCCCCACACCATCAGACCGGGGTTATGGCTGTATGCCTTTGTAAAACAAAGGCTGATTGGGACCGCTGGCCCTGTCGCCTCCAGACATGAACACAGTGGTCATCTGCTTCAAGAGTGAAGCAGGATTCATCGCTGAACACTATACGATGCCAGTCTGATGGCAGCCAAGAAGATCAGCTGCGACACCCATCCAGACAACTCCACCAATGTTGTGGTGTCAAAGGCAAACGTTTTAACCTTTTCGCGACGGCGCACTTAAGACGTGTTTAAGACGCTCGTGCGGGACGGAAGGGAATCGAAGGCAGTCACAGTACAGGATGGAGGTTTTGCATCACTAAGCCTAATTTTATAAAAAAAAGATCAGAAAAAAAAGTTTTGCTTCTAGCAGAGTAATTTTTTGTAGTCTTTTAGATTATTACTTGAGCTCTTATATATGTTAAAATTAGCACTTAATAACGTTTTTTTCTTTATTTTACATGAAAATAAACTTAAAAATTGCTTGTCTTGTAAAATAATTTTCGGAAGCGCTATTCAAATTATTCCAAAGTTTTAATTGATAAAATCCATCAATAAAGTTTTAAATTAATAAAACAACACAATAAAGACTATTTACAGTAAGAAGTAAAAAAATTTAAAATGAAGTCTGTGGTAAATCCCGAAGTATGGAGAAGTATCAATTTCTAATTCTTAGAAAAAGTGTCACTTTCTAACTCTTTAGAAAATGAATCATCACTCTCATCTGCAGTAATAAATGGTTCATTGACCATACGAGGGTATTCTTCCTCTGATAAATAGCGCCTTTCCACTATAATAGACTGGAGTTGAGGCTTTCCGAAATAAAAAGAGCAGAAACGGAAATATATCTGAAGGGCAATGCAAAACGTAACAATACTCCACATACTAACCCTAAAAGACCATATATAGTAAAGGAGAAAATAGAATAAAAAAAGGAATTGGATATAAATCAGACACGTGAATGTTTTCATTAGCACGCAGCGATTTAAAGAGCTCACCTCTGTTTACATTTTCCCTTCCCCCCAGCCTTGAAAGAGCTGATGAGTAAAATACCAAAGTCAAGCAGAATATATCAAACTCAAGGTCAGGAACTTAAAACTGTGTTCATTTCAAAAGTAATGGACATAGGATGCCATCTAGTGGCCTTCAGAAAAAATGTTCCAGCTTAAAATACGTATACGCATCACCCGTCCTCTGAATGCAATCTCTAGCGATGCGGGGATGGGGCGCCGGCTGTAAGAGACGTTCTTAGGGAATGCGTATATATTGGACGCCCGTCCTGAAAGGTTTAAAGGCTCTGTGAGCAGAAACCTGCCTCAGACAAGCGGCGTGAGATAGTGGACGGCACCACGGGAGGTATAGACGTGGCTGTAGTGTGAATAGTCGACAACGATACCGTTGGGGTGGTTCGGGCCTGGCAAACAATCATCCTATCTTGCCTCGCATTTGTGCTCCTTGGTCTTCCAGAGCCTTCATTTTTCGGCAATTTCCTTGTAGCAACCATTGTTGCCAACATCTTTGCACAGCAGTGTCTGTATGCTGCAGGTGGCGGGCTATTGATCGGTATGACCACCCAGCTTCATGCAACACTACAATGCGGCCATGTTCAAAGTCATTTAGTTGTTTGTAAGGTTTTCGATATCGTTGTAATGGTATAAAACTTCTGCCTCCATTATTGGTTTTATACTTTGCAAATTGCACACTAGAAATGTGTGCTATGATCCCAATTCCTGTTCGTTTGCCTTGAAACTAGGATCATTTGCATGTTCGATCAAGTTGTTTTTGCATACTAAATTTCATCCCGATTGCAAAAGTCCTTCTTGGTGCTTCGATTTTTTTGCAAAGGAGTGTATTTCAGTATAATTGTATTTGAATTTGGAAGCAGCATTAAGACCATTTTTAATGTTGCCAAAACAGCTTCTGAAAATGTAATACAAAATGCATAACATCTTCATTTGGTCCAAAAAATTTTTCAAACATGGCCATTCTTCCTATTGAACATTAATTAAGTGATCAAGTAAATTTTGCAAACATTATTGATGGTTTTGCATCATAAAAAAGAAAGCTTTTAAATATGCTTAAAAACTGTTGCAATACTTTTTATATTAATTAAATTACTCTTAATATTTCTTCAATTTTATAAGCCTTTTATCATAGTGGAAACTTTTAATATTTTTCATTTCAAAACTGTAATGCATTATATGTGACATTTTTCTGAACATCAGAAGCAATGATTAAACATTACTGTAAGAATAATGGTATTATTTGAAACAGTTATCTAATGAATACAAACTTTGAGTGTATATAATACAGTTCTTTATTATTTTTTTTTATTTATTTATTTAAATTTCTTTCTTCCTTTTTTTTGGTAGTGGTGGTAAGGTCATCAAGCAGCCAGACACTTTGCATTATACACAGAGGAATGCACTTACCACTTTTCCTCAGATGAAAAAAAAATTGTAGCCATGGCTCTGACTTACACTTTCTAAGCGAAGTAAAATTACAACTTTCTAATGAAAGATGTATCACTTCATTTTCCACAGAGTGCTGAAGGAATCTTATACATTAAACCAATTGTAACATAAAAAGTTAATAAATTTTTATAAGAATAAAAATAAAAGATAACTTAGTGATTTTATACAAAATACTATATTCCTGCAGAAATTTTGCCACGATTTCTCTCATTGCAGCCTAACTCAATAAGATATTTTAAAATTAACAGAAAAGAAAAAATAAGTTGGCTTGTTTAAAAAAAAAGACTGTTGGAACTCAATACAATAAAGAAAGACAATGCATACAAACCCCCTTTTTTTTTTTACAGCTAAAGAATTGTTATGTACATGGATTCCAAAGTTTGGTACATTCTGAAAATTTGGTGACATCTACTAAAGTGATTGCACTAATACCTAAGTACTGGAAGAGTAAACCCCAACTATTTGTGAGAGTGAAAAATTTCAACAAAAATATTTATTTATCTTTTACATTATAAAACGCTGTATATTAATTTCCGTTTTTACTACTACTGAATTTAGGGGAAAAAATATGTTAGATAGTAAATCTTACTTGAAACTCAGAAAGAGATTTTCCAAATTGTTTTCTTGTTTTGACATACTCAGATGCTATTTCTAAACTTGAATAAGCTGCACCTAAGGACAGGATGCTGAGCCAAAATAAATAAATGAATATCATATAGCTTATAAAAGGTAACACAAACAGTATGGCATTACAATGTGTACAAAATAAAACTGGCACATGTACAATATTTCAAAACAGATTGTATGACAAAATAGCTTGTAAATAAATAATTATTTGCAGAAAAATACATATTTCACAAAAAATAAAATATTCAAACTTAAAAACATTTATAATGGCCCCAGTGAAAATATCAGAGATTGAAAAAATACCCATAATGAAAATCTGTTTTATAATATATTTGAGTGGATGCTTATATGGCCAAAAATAAGAGATAGTATCATTTAAAATATTTGAAGATACTTACAAATATTGCTAAAGACAATTATGTATCAAAGCTTTGAAAATCAAATATTTAAATACCATCTACATCTCTTAGGCACAAATTTCTGAAAGACACTTTTAGTCATTCAAAATTATTCAATCAGATATATATTTGTAAAATTGCTAGAATTTGAAATCTTTTGTCTCACTAATTCAGTTTTTATAAGGCCCATAAAATCAATGCTTGGCCTTCCTTTCTGCTTAGAGGATACTGTTTCAAGTGACTTAATACTGGTACTTATAAAAAGGACAATCTGCACATTACAGAACTAGTACACTTTTCTCCCTATAAAAGCACTACAAATTTATCATATAAATTTAGAACAATAGAATTAGAAACAAATTACTAATTATAACATTTTTTGAGTGTGCATATTCAAATTTTAATTTTTTATAATTTTAGTAACAGGTGTCACTTAACTACAGTCTGATATGCTCTGATATATATATATATATATATATATATATATAGCAAAATATTATAACTCTGAAAGTCTATTTAAATTTCTTAAACTGGAATCATGGGCCCTCTAAAACACCAAGATAATTGTTCAAGAAACAGTCAGTACTGCATTCCTTCTGAAGCAATATGTGTATTTAAATACATAAAAATATAGTCCAATGATGATAACTATCATCATGATAATAATGGATCTATGATGAAACTTTTCCAAACATATGAAAAGTTTAATTTTTAGAACATTACATTGGGACAGAACAAACAACATACCTACAAAGTCTGAAATATGGACTTTCAATACCGGGAATTATCTAATATATGGAATTCTGGACTGCCAGCAGACTTTTTTGCTTAGATTTTATTTTCTTAACTAAGTCTAGGAGTGACATAATTTTCAAGAAAAAGTGTGCCGTAAAAGCAATTTTTCCCATGACAGACTTTCTTTCTTTCTTTCCACCGACAGCGAGGCAGCCTGACCACTGAGTAGTTAGCATATCGGCCAGGCAGCTCCGCTGACAGAAATAACTTGACCAACATAACACACTTATGTATACATATTGTGCTCAAGACGAGTGCTGGGGGCAGTGCAAACAAATAAGAGACAATAGTGCAGTGATGAAAGAAGGGTGAGAAGATCAATTTCAGTTACATATTTACAGAGTTATGGATAGATGGTTACAAAAGACATCCACAATGTTAACAATAAATGAGTACAGTGGAATATATGAGAAATTAACAAAGTAACTGATAAACAGTAAAAGTAATATCTAAAATAGGGCTAAAACTAAATAGCAACACTAAAAATAATAAGAAGTAATATACTAAAAAGCGAAATAATACATAAAATAAAAAAAGGCAAAACAGTGAAAACAATACATAAAATAAGGCAATATACATAGTTCAAGGTTCATAAGTCAGGGTTTACAGTTCAAGGAGATAAATAGTATATACAGGGAATAAGAAAAGCCGAATAAGCTAACTTAAGATAAAATTAGTTCATTACAGGTACAGAGCATTCAGGGGCTGTACTGGTGACGAAGATGGTAGCTGAGAATTACTCCAGCCTGTCTGAGATTTTGCGTGCAATATTTATGCAATCGCATATGCGTTTCAATGTACTGCGATTTTTCGAAGTAGCTTCGGCCCATGCATGGATGTGGTTTGCTACTGGTTGCTTAAGATGATATTTGGTGGTTTCTTTGCAAGCGAACAGATAGTGGTCCGGATCTTCTACCATCCCGCATGAGCAATGCTAGTTTTCGCGTCGTCTGAAGCGATGCAGGTAAGTCATGAAGGGACCATGTCCTGTTAGATACTGAGTGAAGTGAGACGAGACACTTTTTAGAAACGGCAGACGTTTGTAAAAAATCTGTAAACGCTTCTGCCGGTGGTCTCTGTCTCCCACAGATGTTGCCAACGTTTGAGTAATTCTCTCTCGAGATCAGCTTTTACGAACGAGCCCGGGAGAGGCATGTCAAATGTGTGAACGTGGAGGTCAGTTGCTGCTCTTTTGGCTATTGCATCTGCAATTTCATTACCCAGTATTCCGGTATGAGCAGGTACCCACTGGAGTTCAGGCCTATAGAATTTTGGTGTTCTTAGTAAGAGTTTTTGTATGGCTCTGACGAGTGGATTTTTACTATATGTGCCTTGGATTGCCTGGAAGCTAGAGGCTAAGTCTGAATATGTACTGGAATAGTTATTTTCCAGTGCGTAGACAAGTGCAGCTTTTAATGCAACCAGTTCAGCCTGAAAAACTGAGTTGTGGTGCTTAAGCTTTATTTCTGGTTCCCATGTAGAACACAGTATCCGCTACCGGTGCCCCATTCTCCTTTGGAACCATCGGTGTAGATTGCAGTGGCTCTGAACCACGTTGATGACTTGCAGTTAATCGAGATGTTGAATTCGGCCGGGTGGCAAGGTGGCTCGGGAATGCTCGGCAAGGTGGCCCATGACAGACTGAGATTTCTGTATGACTTTGAAACACCTGCCGGATAGGGAATCACTCCAATACAACATGACAGTACACTGATTGATGTTGGCCCCAGCCAAACTTTTGACCCTCGAGTAGCTGTGTGAGGTTAGCAATTTTCCATATGATCCAAACGATGCATAAGGTTTTAAGAACATATTTGTTTGGTGTGGGATGCTGCTCAAACTAGTTATATTTTCCGGCATAGCAGTGGAAAAGGGAGAAAGAATTAGATTTTGTGGAACTGAAGTTCAGTTAACGTAGCAAATTGCAGTCAAAGTTTTTGCATGCTATTATTAAGCTATCATAATAAAATTAAAGTCTGAGTTTTCGATTATGTTGAAACCAGATTTTAATTTTTGAGATGCAGCAGGATCTGCAAAGTGAAAGCATATTTTGATGTCAGTCAAGCAAAAAGTAGAATTGCTGCAAAAATCAATAAAGTCATATTTGCCTCAAAATTATGGCATGAGTAAGGTATTGTAAATTCAATGGTACATGACATAAAAAACTATTAAAAATGAACTTTTTAAATTTTTTGTATTTTCACATTCCACTTGCAATGAATAACAGAAAAATCATTCGTTATGCTCAAGTGCTGATTGTGTAAGTGATGACTGAATGGGGAGGCAGCATCATAATAAGGTTGTATAATTTACAGGTCTAATACTAATAGCCTAAGCCAGAATCTTTCATGGAGAAATGGACTTAAAAGCTGATTGCACATATTCAACAGGTTAGAAACCAAATTTAAAAATACACATCATGTAAGGCAGTTAAAAATTTCAGGCAAAAAAGCTTCAAATGATATTGAAGCAGCTAAATAATTTGCAGATGAATACATCACATTTATTAATAGCTAAAATGATAATATGTGACCTAAAATATTTTGATGACCTCCACAAAAAATACTCAAACTGGGGTCAAAGATTCCAAAGTGAGATTAAGGACTCTGGCATGTACGAATACTGGAGACACACACAAACATAAAATTTCCATAACACACACCACCTTGAGAAGAAAATTTTACTTTGTAAAGGAAAGGGTATAAGTCAAAAGTCATTAATCCGGACTCGTCGGGACTTCGGCGATTCCGGATTATCGGTTTTCTGGATTATAGATCATCAGTTTAAATCTGGTAAGATGGCATGCAGAAATTATAAAATTAAAAATATGAAACCGTAATTTATGAAATAAAGAGCAATTATGATCTAAAGGGTATCAAAATTTACAAAAAAAAAAAAAAAAAAGCTTTATATTTATTTGTTTACTTTATTAAACATTTCCTTCAATGCGCGCATGCATAAAGCATACATTACGCATAGTCGAAATTAGAAAATTGCAACCAGAAAACTATTTGATGTGTATTCGTGATATTTATAATGAGGAGGAATTTTATTTAAATCATATCAAAGATGGAGTACATTGAAGGGAATACTACATTTAGTAAGGAATTATAAGCCGAATAAAATAAAAACATCTGCCCTGAAAATAAGGATAGTGCTGACAGATCAACTTCTAGTTCATTGCGTGCCGCGTCGTCCACCCCCCTTCGCAGAGCAGCGTGAAATTGATAAACATATTTCGGAATGATTAGAGAATCAAAGGATATGCCTTTATCCGTTTTTTTGCAGCAGTTCCACTTTTTGTTTGATGCACATCGAAACATGCTTTTGCTTTGTAGATCCTTTGGCAGCTCTAGAATTGGAAATTCTTTTTGACATTGTCAAAAGTTCAAGCTTACTTTTATAAAATTGCACTAACAGTCTGCAAAAAATAACAGGCCGGATCCAGTTAGAAAATTAAGGAACAACGCAATCTGCAACATTAACTGAAATAGATAATTAGATAATTTTAGCTTAGCTTATACCATTCGTTATACATTAAACGCGCATGCATAAACGTATTATGCACATGCATAAACGCTTATGCGCATGCGCAGAAGGTTTGTAGCTTTGAGGTCCGGATTATGGACGTCTGGATTAAAGACTTTTGACTGTACATAATATTATCTATTTACATGACTGATCTAGTTAAATCTAGCATTGATAGATGGCACTACATTACAGTGACTTTTCACGATCTGATGCGTTGCTCCACCCTACTTGGTTTGTGGCCGCATCCTTCTGCAGCTTCAGTTATGAATAAAACAAAACTTTAAAGAATATTTTACTTCTAAATTAAACATTATGCACAACTTTAGGGCTATAAA